GGGGGGGGGGGGGGGTGGGAACGGGTGGTAGCGCGAGAGCAGGAAGGGCCTGAAACTCCCAAGTCCCCAGAAGGCCCCCGACGGACCCGGCCCCGCAGCCCCCGCGCCCCGCGCCCAGCCCCTGCCCGGGCGTCGCCCTCACCCGCCCGCGGCTGCGCGCCCAGAGGCGCGGGCACGTCACGGCGCTGCCAGGAGACGGGCGGCGGGCCCGGGCGGCTGCACGACGCGGGAGGCGGACTGCCCCGGGCAGGGCCCGTCCTACCGCCGCGGCCGAGCGCCCCGGGTCCCGCAGGGGAGGAGCGGCACGGGAAGGAGGCCCAGCGTGAGGCCGCGTCCGCTCCCGCTCGGGGCCGCCTTCCCCTCCGAGCGCCGGGCCGTTGGGGCCACACTGCGGCGGGGGCGGCGGGCGCGGAGCGCAGAATCCACTTCTCCGGGTTTTGGCAGGGGGCGCGGCGCGAGTCGGCGCGACACTGCGCGACGGGGAGGCGGAGCCGGGGCGGGGTAGGGGCGGGGCTCCGCGCGTTTCCCCGCCCCCGCCCCGCCCCTGCTCCCGGCCGGGCCCAAATCTCGCAGCCTCGCGGCGGCTGGGCGGCTTCCACAAGGCGAGGCGGGTCTGGGATCTTCTCGGCCGACTTTGCTTGACGGGCTGGGCTGGCCTGGACCGGCGGGCGAGCGTCGGACGTCCCGGAAAGGCGGAAGGGGCTGCCGCGGGGCCGGGACACCCAGGCGGTTCCAGGTCTGAGTGTGAGAGGGGAGACGGAGCCCCGGGGCTGGAAAACCCTTCCTGCTTTCGCTGGCCGACCGGATAACGCTTCCGCCCCTGGCACTAGAAAGAAAACAACACGAGCCCCGCTCCTTGTCCCTGCCCTGCAGGTTGCCCTTTCTCTGCTTTGCCAGCCTCTCGAGCCACATGCCCCGAGCAGCTTGTGGCTGAGAGAGATCGAGATGGGGACGGAGCAGGGGCGCCGGAAGGAGGAAAGCAGAGGCTGATGACTTTAATATTAGTTTTCGGGTTTCAAACTCACCATGAAGCTAATGGAATTTGAGCTTCAGAGCCCCTCACTCCACAGGTGCCTTCCGTAGCCTAGAAGAGGAGGCTTAGCAGTGTGTTAACACGGTCATATAGTCTTGTAAAATCTGCAAAAGAAGGATATGTAAACCTTAGAGATTTTTCAGTATTTTGTATGATATTTGATGCATACAAAATAATATGTTGAGAAAATATGTAAATTGTAAGGCATCCTACTAAAAACAAGTCTGATTCCATCACATTATCCACATTAAGCCCCCGTCCATCTGTGCATCTCCTGGATTCTACCCCTTGCCTTTTCTCTCATCCACCAAGATCTTGAATTTCGACTCTCCTCGCCATTGTTAGTAGTTACATCACACCTGAATGTGTTCCTGATGTATAGTTTCGTTTTTCTTCTTCTCCAGCTTTACAATAGCTTTGTAGGATTTGCATTTATCGTTCAGCGTTTGTTTCTTTGACCCATCTAAATTGTTAAAGTGTGAGGGAATAGTCGAATATTCATCTTCATGCTGTAATTTCTTAGTTTATGTATAGTTTATCCATTTTTCTGTGGACACTTGAGTTATCGTCAGTTTTTTGTTATTAGAGGCAAATTTACCATGAAGCCAATGAACTTTGAGCTTCACGGCCACTACCTTCCACAGCCTAGGCAAGAAGCCTTAGCAATGTGCTGACACGATCATCTATTTTCGTAAAATCTGCAAAAGAACAATATTTAAACCACAATGGGTTAAGACCACTTTCTCTTTACACTCCAGCTTCCCCTCCTTCAGCCCCTCTGAAGCTGTGTGGTGGTGGACGGCTGGAGGTATTCAAGGCTGAGCCAAGGTGCATTGAGTTGGGGACACATTTCCTTTGAGTTCAGTGGAATGTCTTTGTGAGGTCTGCAGTCTGTTAAGGTTAGGTCATTGCTTTTTTCCCCAGGGTAAGAAGTGTCAATAAGAAATGCTAAGAATACGTGCTGTTCGAAAGTGCCCAGCCTTAGCACTCCATTTATCTAAAACAAAGACCTGATTTATCATCTGTAGGGCCAACATTGTACATCTGAGTAGTTTTACAGAATTACTTGTGCCTAGGTAATGATCAAAGAAATACGCTTTACAATCAATTTCTGTATGTCCTAATCTGTAGAACCAGCTATTGACATCATGACCTACATCCTTTGTCAGCGTATATATCCTTATAAGGAAGCTCTCCTCTCCAGAGCACTTTCTTCTTCAGAAGGACTGTTTCTTGGGTAGCTGTCCTAAATCTGAGCTCAAATAAAACTCGGAACTCTTTTCTGGACTTTTACTTTTTTTTGGAATTTTACTCTGGATTTTCTTTTCACCAACAGAATTTATAGGAACAGATGTCCTATCAGGTTGTGAATGTGTCCTACAGCATCTGACGTGGGAAGTATGTGCATGTGGGGGGAGAAATAGTTTGAAATGTAGGGACCACGAAGCTAGTCAGTAACATTTCATTAGATGCGCTAAAATTGTCAGCAGAGGGTCCAGTTCTGACCAATGCCTAGTCATGTGGAAGTTCTCTCCCATCAGGAGTGTATTCATCTTGAGATGGTTATAAATGCACTTACAGTTTTTTAAATTGATGGGAATCAAAGTAAAATTGATCAGACTCCATGAGTTTATAGGTCACAAACTTGTAACAGAACCACAGTGACTGTCTGGATGTGAAGACGTGTTTGTTATATTCTGAATATTAGTAGTAAAAGAAGTTCAATGAACCATGCTGAAAATGACAATCTTCTTATCCTGTCTGCAGAAACAGTATCACAGGAACCACTGCCACATGAAGGGTGAATCGAAGAGCGTGCAGCCAGCAAAACGGAGGAAGGAGGTATAGAGGTATGTGAGACAGTTAATCAAAAAAATAATAGGATACTTTCCTGAATTTTGTCACATTCGTAATTTGTCATGTGTTTTCTCCAGTTACATAAGCTCATGCCCCAAAAAACCGCACACCTTCTTGCGCACACCTGTAGACATTTCTGAGTCTCGTTTAAACCTGGGAGTAGGTCGCCTGGGCCAGAAGGGATGGGATGCTCAGCTTTGCAAGATAATGCCAAAATGCTTTCAAATGGTGGTACCAATATGTCTGGCACCGATCCTGTTTTTCCTGTTTGCTGTTATTCCACATTCTCTCCAAATCTTGTATTGTCAGATGTCTTAATTTTTGCTAGTCTACTAAAAATAACCTGGTATCATAAGGTTGGGCAATTTTTCATATGTTGTTCATTCCTGTTTCTCTTCCCCACCTAAGGTTTTTTTTTTAATGTTTTTGATATCAATCTTTTGTCAATTGTGTATATCACAAATATTTTCTCTCTGTAGCATGTTTTTTCACATTTTAAAACATTTTTACTTTATTTTGGAAAAAAATCAAATTTTGAGAAAAGAGACTAACACAATGAACTGTATACATACCCTTCATGTACATTCATGGTTTGCTATACTTGTGTGTAAGAAGACAATATATGGACATTATTTCTGCTGATCCATTTGAGAGCAAGTTGCAACGTGGACTTAAACATTTCTGCAAAGCATGGACTTATCAATCATCTCCAACAACAAAGATATTCTATTGTGTACCCACAGAACCATTTTCAAATGTAGGTATTTTAAAACTGATATATTAATACCTGATATACAGTCCATATTGAACTTTGGCCAGTTGTTACAGTAATGTCTTTTAGAGCAGTTTTTCCCCCTAATCCAGTATCCAGTCCAAGATCTTCTCCCTTTCTTTATGGTGTCTTTTGATTAAAAATTCTTAAGTTCAGTGTAGTTAAATTTGTCAGTCTTTTCATGTGTAATTAGCAGCTTTGGCATCTAGGCAATCCATACCCAGCCAGGGGCTGGAGGGAGGGAAGAATGAATAGATGAAGCAAGGAAGATTTTTAGAGCAGTGAAACTATTTTGCATGATACTATAAGGGCGCATGCCTGTCATGACACATTTGTCCAAACCATAGAATGTATGACACCAAGTGGCCCCTAATATAAACTATAGACATGGGGTGATAATGCAGATCCATCAACTGCAGCAAACGTACCCTCTTGTGGGGGGTGTTGAGAATGGGGGAAGAGGACATACAGAAAATCTCTGTACCTTCTCAATTTTGCTGTGAATCTAAAACTGCTCTAAAAAGGACTTTAAAAAAAATTCCATGCCCATCTTAACATCAGAAAGATATTTCCAGAATTCTGGGGGAAACTTTTAAAGTTTTGCCTTTCCCATTTGAATCACTAATCCAGGCGGAACTGGTTTCTGTCTGTTGTGAAGCAGGGATCCGTTTCCTTGTTTTCAGAATGGCCAGCGAATGATCCAAATACCATGTATCGATGACAGCCCTTTTCTCGGGGATGGGCAGTGCCATCTCTGGTCATATATCCAGGTTGCATAATGCCCAGGCTGCTTCTGGACTAACTCTTCTCTCCCAAGTGGGCTCTCCTCAGGCAGCACCATTCTGCTTTAATTACCTCGCCTTTATAGGTTTCGCTCTCTGGTCGAGCGAGCTTCCTTCAGCAGCGCCTTGGCCCTTTGCGCTTGCAAATACACTGTCCGATCAACTTGTCGCCTTCCACAAAAAAGTCCTGATGTGATGACGACTGGAAACACATTAATTCTATAGATCAATCTGAGGGAAGAATTGACATTTTCACAATATCCTATATATCTCTAGTATTTAGGTTTTCTTTAAGGATTTCCACCAAAATTTCTAATTTTCTCCAGAGACGCTGATCTGCCTTTGGTCAGATTTATTCCTGGATTCATTATAGTTAGTATTACTATTGTAAATGGTCTCCTTTTAAACACTTAGTCTTTGAATTGTTTGCTGGTTTATAAAAGTGAAGTTTTATATACCAGATATTTTCTGTTACCATTTTGTTTAGGATTTTTAAATTTATGTTTAAAAGTGAGATTGGCCTCTAATTTTCCTTTCTCAGTTAATGGCTGTACGGGCACCAGAGAATGAATTGGGGAATATTTCTCGACATTCACACACACACGTTCTCTGGAATACTTTATATAAGAGAGAAATGATAGGTCTGCTGAAAATTTGGCAGAGCCCTCTCTAAAATTACCTGGGCCTGGATTTTTTGTGTGGTGTGTAGAAAGATTTTAATCTTTAGATTTATTGTCTTTAATAGTCATGGGACAAGTTCAGCCTTTCTCAAGGAGTTTTCAAAAATTCTTCAGTTTTGCTAAGTTTTATATACATATATATAATTAAAGTATCATTGATATATAATCTTATGAAAGCTTCACTTGAATACATTGTGGTTTCTACATCCACCCATATTATCAAGTCTTCACCCCTCTACTGCACATTCCATACGTGTAGTAAGATGCTATAGAGTCATTACTTGTCTTCTCCCTCCCATACTACCTTCCCCGTGACCCCCCTACATTATGTGTGCTAATCATAATACCCCTCAATCCCCTTCTCCCTCCCTCCCCACCTGCCCTCCCACACCCCTCCCCTTTGGTAACAGCTAGTCCCTTCTTGGAGTCTGTGAGTCTGCTGCTGTTTTGTTCCTTCAGTTTTGCTTTGTTGTTATACTCCACAAATGAGGGAAATCATTCAGTGCTTGTCTTTCTCTGCCTGACTTATTTCACTGAGCATAATACCCTCCAGCTCCATCCATGTTGATGCAAATGGGAGGATTTGTTTGCTTTTTTATGGCTGAATGCTATTCCATTGTGTATATGTACCACATCTTCTTTATCTATTCATCTACTGATGGACACTTAGGTTGTTTCCATAGCTTGGCTATTGTAAATAGTGCTGCGATAAACAGGGGTGCACATGTCTTTTCGAATCAGGGATCTTGTTTTCTTCGGGTAAATTCCTAGGAGTGGAATTCCTGGGTCAAATGGTATTTCTATTTTTAGTTTTTTTGAGGAAACTCCATATTGCTTTCCATAATGGTAGAGTCAATTTGCATTCCCACCAATAGCGTAGGAGGGTTCCCCTTTCTCTGCATCCTCGCCCGCACTTGTTTTTGCTAAGTTATACTTTTTAAGGTTCTTTTCAAATGTTTTCATATGGGCTTTCATAAAGTAGGGCATTTTATCTGTTTTTATCCTTTAAAATATTTGTTTTATATTTAATTTGCCTCTTTTTCATTCCTAATGCTTACTGGACCTTTCTCTCATTTTTTTCTTAATCAGTCTCACCAGGAAGCTTGTTTTATCATGTAATGGTTTTTAAGAATCAACTTTCAACCTGATTGATCCTTTTTATTGTATATTTGCTTTCCATCTCACTGTTTCTGTTCCTTTTTTTTCTGTTTCTCTTCTACTGTCTTCACATTATTCTGTTATCCTTTTTATAATATCTCTCAATTAATGATTTAATACATTCATGTTTAACTTTTTTACTTGTGTAAACATTTATTGCTCTCAGTTTTCCTCAAATTACTTTTTCTGCATCCCACAAGTTTCAATACATAGAATTTTTATTTCATTCTGGTATTTTAAAGTCTCCATTATTATTTCTTCCGCTATTTATGCCAACACTTAGTGTTTTAAATTCAAATATATGTATATTTATACTTTTTTTACATATACTTTTTTTGCATTGTGACCAGAAACTAACCACGATATTGATTCTTCAAAGTTACTTGAGACTCACCCTATGAGCTAGTCCATGGTCAATTTTTATAAATGTTCTAAGCCAGAGAAGAATGTTTATTTCATCAATAAATAGATGCAGCAATATGTATCAAATAAATCAAGTGTGGTCCTTGAAATTCTTTGCATCTCTGCTAATGTCCATGTTCGCATATGTCCATCAGTATGCCTCTCACCCATTAGCAGATGAAAGAGATCAATCTCCCACTAAATGATGGCTTTGTCACCTGGACTTCCAGCGATGTGGGAGCCATTTTATTTTAGCATCTTTATTTGTAAAGCACTTTAAGCAATAGTACGTTGCAGAATCTTCGATGAGTCCAGTCACCAGCCCTGGCAGCCTCCGTGTCACAGCGCCCTGCCACAGGACCAGCCGACTTACTGAAAGCTCGCAGGGACAGTGAGCATCTACCTTCCAGCCCAGACCAGTTCTTCCTTGGAGATCGCCGCTTGATTTTAATTATGACTTAATTAGATTCTCTCTGAGGCCAGGCATTGTGCAAAACATTTTATGAACATTGTCATGTTGAATTTTCAGTGAGTCTTACAAAGTAGATATTTTATCCCCATTGTGCTAATGAAGACACAGGGTAATTAAGCAATTTTGCAAGGTGACCGGGATAGTAGTGAAACAGCAAGAGCTTAAGCCCAGGTCTGTCTTCTAAATACACTGGAATACACCCCCAAGTTCTCTATATTAGATCTAAAACCATGTTGCTTTACCTTTCAATCGAAGGACCTGGTTCTAACCACCACTTTTAGTGTTCCCAGCATTTCCCAATCCTTTGGAAACTTCAGGAATAAGTCAAGCTAATATGTATTCTGTAACCCTGCCCAACTCTGATCAGTTTTCTTGTAGGAGCTTTGGATCTTTGCCATATGCATTCATATTCTAATTGTTACTTTCAGAGTAATAAGAAGTAACTAGTCTAATGATTCTATAGCATCTTACTATGCTGATGGACAGTGACTGTAACGTGGTATGTGGGGGGGACTTGATAATGGGGGGAGTCTAGTAACCATAATGTTCAAGTAATTGTACATTAATGATATCAAAATTAAAAAATTAAAAAAAAAGAAGTAACTAGTCAGTCTTGCATGTGGGATGCCTCATTCTTAATGTACAGCTAACTGAGTGACCACTCATTTCTACATGTGAGTCAAGCATGCTGGAAGAAGCCTGACACTTAACATCAAGCCCTTCCTTTTTCAGGGTTAATAAGTAAAACCTCAGAACTACGCAGGCCTCATATGTGACAATCACACTGTATGATCTTTAAAACAAGCTCAGATTCAGAGCTCCCTTTAGGTCTCACTAGCACAGTCTAGTTAACCTGAGCTGCTGTATCTGTTTTCTTCACAAAACATCTTCACTGACTTGGTTTTATGATGTTCTTTTAATTGTGGAGCCTAGGAAAGGCTTACTTATAGTTCACATGGAAATCACAAAAGGGCATTACTCATGCGTTCCTATTACGCATCATGCTTTATGGCAGGGAGGGACAGGAAAGGATCCAGGGTGAGTCGGTTAGACAAGAGTTGTGGAGCGCCTGCATCCTGCATAAGCGTTCTATGGTTTACCTTAAGCTGTGTCTCAGAACAGGAAATGCCTCCGTGATGTGAGCCTACCTGTGAGTTATTCTCGTGCACTGTTGAGACATGCACTCTGCCTATCATCCTGTCATCTGCGGAGCCTTCCATCTCATACCTGCTAGTTTATAGCTCATCCTTCCTCTTTTATTATGTGAGGCTTGGAAGACCTGTGTAACTTCACATCAACGTGAAGACGGGACAGCACAGGCTGATAGCATTTCACTGCCACTGATTTTTTTCAGTTGTATCATCACAGTGAATTAGACCACCACGTGGCCCGTGGCCCTACTACTTTCTGCCTTGGGTAGTTTCTCCTGATAAGTACTATGACAAAGCCTTCAAGTTCTGAAAATTCAATTCTTAGCTCATTCAACGTATTTATGGCGTCCACCTTGTGGCAGGCCTGGGAGTATAACAGTGACCAGGAAACACAAGAGTCTCTGCCATCATCCAGCTCGCAGTGGAGGAGGGGGACACTTACAACAGGAAGCGTTAAGGGAGGGGAAGCCCAGGACCACATAGGAATGTATAGGATGGGCCACCAGCTAGACGTGGGGATCAGGAGAAGCTTTCCAGCGGAAATGACATCTAAACTGAGATCTGAAGGCTGAATAAGAATTGGGACCATTAAAACAGAAAAGAGAAGGGGAGGGAAAGGCCTAAACTGAGAGCGTGGTACGTCTGCAGAACTGCAGCAAGTTAGATGTTGGTCTGCTAAGGTCAAGTTTTGCTGCAGTGACAAATGAGCCCCAGATCTCAGTGGGATGTAACAACAAAGGTTTATTTCACATTCAGGCTGCAGTGTGGAGGAAAGATTGTAGGGGTGCCATAATATGGAGAAAAGATTGAAGAGTGGCAGAACGGAGGTGGAAAGCTGAGGCAGTAGTTCAGGCCAGAGAAGGTGGTGGCCGGAACCGAGGGGGAGCCAGTGGGGATACGGAGAGGGGGGCAGAGTCAGGATACACGTAGAAAGTAGAGTGAACAGCTCTTCCTGATTGGTCAGACCCAGAGGGTGAAAGAGAAGGAGTCCCGGCTGGCACTCAAGTTCAGTAAATACCGTGTCCTAACCACAAAACATAACAGGAAAATAAAAGCTTTCGTGGAGTTGAATTTAGTACACACAATAGCATGATGAATATCTTATTGTTAATAATTTTAGAAATGTCTTCAGATGCATCACTGAGTTTATGATCTCAGTGATCAATGGCACTCTCTCTGCCCAAACTCCTGGCACAGATGTATTCACAGAAGCACATAATTCTTGACAGTGAAGCTTCTGGGATGTCAAATTTGGAGATGCCTTGTTAAAAGTATGTCTGTTTTACAACTCTACATTCATCCTAAAACTTGAACTTACAATGACGTCATTCGCTGATTAGAAAAATAGACCAGTACCGATCTAGGAAGTCTACTTCTGCAAACCTTGGCAAAGAGAGCGCGAACGAGTCACACTAGACTCGACGCTGTGAGGCTGACATGCTCTGCGGACCCACGTGAGAGCTGTGATCGTCAGAGCACTTAAAAACTTGTTGCCAATATGCATTCGTTCTCCAGAGGAAAAAGGCTGTGCTGGATTCTCCCTTTCCAGATGAGTCACGTTGCTGGGACACTAAATTCTCAACAGATGAAGAGAGCATCTCAGGTTTTTCCAAAGCAACTCCAAATTCCTCAGCAGTGTGCACGCTGAGAGCGCCCGTTCAGCTTGTATTCTTTTGTCTGGCCACAGCCTCCTTTCCTTCCAGTGTTACTTGTCCAACTTCTCCCACTGTGATATTTTTCAGCCACACTGGCACCAATTGTCTTTTAATTACTCTGTTTTGTCCGACCATGTCTACCATTTTCTGTCTTTCTTTTCCATCTTCTCCAACTTAGATTCTGTGCTGTGAAGGTTAACGCTTAGCCTGCCTGTGGTAAGCCTGAGCTTCTTCCCTGGAATCACACACTTTCCAGAATTACAGAGTCCTGTGAAGGTGTGAACGCACTGGTTAATAGTGTCACTTTGTAACCAACTCTGAGAGGTTGGTGCCCTAGCACCCTCCAAAGGTGACCCCATCAGGGTCTGGTTTTTAACAATCTCTATGAAAGCAAAGATTTTAATGTACAAAATGCACTTCAGTATATACCACGAATTATTCTTTCTGAAGCTGACATGCTCCGTCTTTCATGCCGGCTCCCGGGTCCTTCACACACAACCCCAAGTGCCTTTCATAGTTTCTTTTGCTTTCTGGTATGACAAGAGTCTTGTTCAAACTCATACTTATTTTTGCCCTAGACCAACAATCGACCATTTGTGCCAGCAGCCTGGGGTTCTGGGCTCCCTTTAACAGAGAATGGAATTAAAATCCAGTCTAGGCATTAGGGAAGCTAATTGCTATTAAACTGGTTATTGTTTATGAGCCTTTTTAGTGGACAGAGAGCTAAGACCTTCTCCTTTTTTTCGTCTCTTTTTTTAAATTAAAGTATCATTGATATACTATCTTATGTTGGTTTCAAATATACTACACAGTGGTTCAGCAGTTACCCATATTATTGAGTCCTCACCCCTCTAATGCGGTCACTATATATCAACATAGGAAGATGTTACAGAATCACTAACTAACTGTATTCTCCATGCTGTACTGCCGTCCGGGGACCAACTTATATTGTGACTGCGGATTATTGTGCCCCTTTATCCTCATCTCCCCACCCTCTTCCCCAGCCCCTCCCCCTAAAACCACTAATCCCTTCGCAGTAAGTCCTTGTTCTCTTCTTTCTTTCTTTCTTAGGATTAAAAAACACCATGTGTTCATTCAATTCAAATTTAGAATTGTAACATTTTTATTGAACTTTTTGATTGGATATTGGTATCACTTTGATACTGAAAATCTTGGTTTCTAGGAATACTAACATAATTATTTATTTTAATATATACAGTAGTTTTAGAATAACAATGCCAAGATTATTATTAAATATCAATTTTTAAAAATTCAGGTGTATTCCACTAGGGATATATAGTCCAATTACGGTATTTTAAAACCATGTGAAACAATTCCCTTCTGTGTGGTTAAGACACTAAAATCAGTACAGGGTGGGACTTGTTCATTTCATTTTTCTTTTGATTTATAGGAATTGCTTTTCTTTTACATTTTGATTTAATATTATTTTATAACTACATCAAACGTTTACACGGCTTGAAATCAAATCTAAAAACAATATATATTCTGGAAAGGTTAGCTTTTATCCCTGGTCCTTCTGCCCTATTCCTGCCCTCCTCACAGGCTACTTTAGAAAAATTTTTTAGAAGTTGGACCTATCCTTCCATTTAAAAAAAATATAAGCCAATATTTTCATATGTGCACAAATATATACATCCACCTTTTAGATACACAGAAGCACACCACAGACACTTTTCTCTGCTTCTTTTTTCACTTAGTAACACACCTTGGAGATTATATAGCAGTGCACAGAGATGTGCTTCATGCCTTTCCAGGACTCCACTGGGTGTTGTGCTGTAGCTCCAGTCTCCTGTTGGTAAATATTTGAGTTGTTTTCAGTTCGTTGCTATTAAACGTAGTGCTTTGGGGTATAGCCTTCCAAATAGTTTATTAAGCTTTTACGAGTGCGATCATATTCCATTGAATCTGAAATGCCATTGATCACAAGATGCACCATTACTTGACGTAACTCCAAGAAAGGAAAGCGTCCCGTCAGTTAGTAAGTGCTGCTGCACTTCTTACCAACCACACGACCTGCCTGCACCCGCACGGATCCTCAGCTCCTTCTCGGTGCCAGTGTCCCACCACACTGAGCCCCCCTCTGGGCCTTTGCATCCTATCCCTCCTGCCTCCCCAGAACCCGAGCACTAGTAGTTTTCTACTGTGCGAATTCAACCTGTATCTGTCAGCAGTAAGCTTGGCTGCATAAGGAAGATCCCAATTGATTGTGACTTAAACAAGGAAGAAATTTATTTCTCGGTCATGTATTTATTTGAATGTCTATTTATCTGAATATGTAGTAGTTATTGTATAAAAATTAAAAGGTACAAGTTGGTGCGCAGTTAAAAGGTGGTCTTCCTCCCACCCTTCCTCGGCCTCTCGCAAGGTTGGAAATGGAATTTAAAGCCACGGAAATGGAAACGGCCACTTGGGAGCATGTGTACCGAGAGGGAAGAGGACCCCAGGACGGGGACCCCTGGGACTCCAGCCTTTAACAGCTGAGCAGGAGGAGAAGCTGCAAGAGTCTGGGAATAAATGTCATCGAGGAAGAAGGGAAACCCAGAGACTGTTTGGCCCCAGAAGCCAAAAGAAGGAAGCATTTTAAGAAAAAGAGAGTGTGTCTAATGCTGCTCGACAGTTCAAGTTAGGTGAGAGCAGGAAGTGAGGGGGATGTGTGGCAGCAGGACAGGCCTGAGGGACCTGCCCAGGTGGCATCTCAGGGGAAACGGACTGAGGAGAAAAGATGAGCAACAGTCCGGTCAGCGATCACGGCAAAGGGGGCACGAGGCTGAAGGCGACGTGGAAGGGACAGAGCGTTTCACTCAGAGGCGCTGTTAGGACATTGTTCGCTGGTGGAAATAAACCATTAGGAAGGGGGAAAACGGACAATTTAGGCAAGAGAGGGGACACTTGCTGGAACGAAGTCCTTGAAGAGGCGAGAATGGCATGGGATCCGTGACCCAGGCGGAAGCCCTGGCCTGCCACTTCAGAGGCCCAGGACCTGGGAGGCCAAGCATCAGATGGACCATCAGACTGAAAGCTGAAATCACTAAGAAACAGGGAGAGAAGGAAGTCACGTTGCTGGGACACTAAATTCTCAACAGATGAAGAGAGCATCTCAGGTTTTTCCAAAGCAACTCCAAATTCCTCAGCAGTGTGCACGCTGAGAGCGCCCGTTCAGCTTGTATTCTTTTGTCTGGCCACAGCCTCCTTTCCTTCCAGTGTTACTTGTCCAACTTCTCCCACTGTGATATTTTTCAGCCACACTGGCACCAATTGTCTTTTAATTACTCTGTTTTGTCCGACCATGTCTACCATTTTCTGTCTTTCTTTTCCATCTTCTCCAACTTAGATTCTGTGCTGTGAAGGTTAACGCTTAGCCTGCCTGTGGTAAGCCTGAGCTTCTTCCCTGGAATCACACACTTTCCAGAATTACAGAGTCCTGTGAAGGTGTGAACGCACTGGTTAATAGTGTCACTTTGTAACCAACTCTGAGAGGTTGGTGCCCTAGCACCCTCCAAAGGTGACCCCATCAGGGTCTGGTTTTTAACAATCTCTATGAAAGCAAAGATTTTAATGTACAAAATGCACTTCAGTATATACCACGAATTATTCTTTCTGAAGCTGACATGCTCCGTCTTTCATGCCGGCTCCCGGGTCCTTCACACACAACCCCAAGTGCCTTTCATAGTTTCTTTTGCTTTCTGGTATGACAAGAGTCTTGTTCAAACTCATACTTATTTTTGCCCTAGACCAACAATCGACCATTTGTGCCAGCAGCCTGGGGTTCTGGGCTCCCTTTAACAGAGAATGGAATTAAAATCCAGTCTAGGCATTAGGGAAGCTAATTGCTATTAAACGGGTTATTGTTTATGAGCCTTTTTAGTGGACAGAGAGCTAAGACCTTCTCCTTTTTTTCGTCTCTTTTTTTAAATTAAAGTATCATTGATATACTATCTTATGTTGGTTTCAAATATACTACACAGTGGTTCAGCAGTTACCCATATTATTGAGTCCTCACCCCTCTAATGCGGTCACTATATATCAACATAGGAAGATGTTACAGAATCACTAACTAACTGTATTCTCCATGCTGTACTGCCGTCCGGGGACCAACTTATATTGTGACTGCGGATTATTGTGCCCCTTTATCCTCATCTCCCCACCCTCTTTCCCAGCCCCTCCCCCTAAAACCACTAATCCCTTCGCAGTAAGTCCTTGTTCTCTTCTTTCTTTCTTTCTTAGGATTAAAAAACACCATGTGTTCATTCAATTCAAATTTAGAATTGTAACATTTTTATTGAACTTTTTGATTGGATATTGGTATCACTTTGATACTGAAAATCTTGGTTTCTAGGAATACTAACATAATTATTTATTTTAATATATACAGTAGTTTTAGAATAACAATGCCAAGATTATTATTAAATATCAATTTTTAAAAATTCAGGTGTATTCCACTAGGGATATATAGTCCAATTACGGTGTTTTAAAACCATGTGAAACAATTCCTTTCTGTGTGGTTAAGACACTAAAATCAGTACATGGGTGGGACTTGTTCATTTCATTTTTCTTTTGATTTATAGGAATTGCTTTTCTTTTACATTTTGATTTAATATTATTTTATAACTACATCAAACGTTTACACGGTTTGAAATCAAATCTAAAAACAATATATATTCTGGAAAGGTTAGCTTTTATCCCTGGTCCTTCTGCCCTATTCCTGCCCTCCTCACAGGCTACTTTAGAAAAATTTTTTAGAAGTTGGACCTATCCTTCCATTTAAAAAAAATATAAGCCAATATTTTCATATGTGCACAAATATATACATCCACCTTTTAGATACACAGAAGCACACCACAGACACTTTTCTCTGCTTCTTTTTTCACTTAGTAACACACCCTGGAGATTATATAGCAGTGCACAGAGATGTGCTTCGTGCCTTTCCAGGACTCCACTGGGTGTTGTGCTGTAGCTCCAGTCTCCTGTTGGTAAATATGTGAGTTGTTTTCAGTTCGTTGCTATTAAACGTAGTGCTTTGGGGTATAGCCTTCCAAATAGTTTATTAAGCTTTTACGAGTGCGATCATATTCCATTGAATCTGAAATGCCATTGATCACAAGATGCACCATTACTTGACGTAACTCCAAGAAAGGAAAGCGTCCCGTCAGTTAGTAAGTGCTGCTGCACTTCTTACCAACCACACGACCTGCCTGCACCCGCACGGATCCTCAGCTCCTTCTCGGTGCCAGTGTCCCACCAGACTGAGCCCCCCTCTGGGCCTTTGCATCCTATCCCTCCTGCCTCCCCAGAACCCGAGCACTAGTAGTTTTCTACTGTGCGAATTCAACCTGTATCTGTCAGCAGTAAGCTTGGCTGCATAAGGAAGATCCCAATTGATTGTGACTTAAACAAGGAAGAAATTTATTTCTCGGTCATGTATTTATTTGAATGTCTATTTATCTGAATATGTAGTAGTTATTGTATAAAAATTAAAAGGTACAAGTTGGTGCGCAGTTAAAAGGTGGTCTTCCTCCCACCCTTCCTCGGCCTCTCGCAAGGTTGGAAATGGAATTTAAAGCCACGGAAATGGAAATGGCCACTTGGGAGCATGTGTACCGAGAGGGAAGAGGACCCCAGGACGGGGACCCCTGGGACTCCAGCCTTTAACAGCTGAGCAGGAGGAGAAGCTGCAAGAGTCTGGGAATAAATGTCATCGAGGAAGAAGGGAAACCCAGAGACTGTTTGGCCCCAGGAGCCAAAAGAAGGAAGCATTTTAAGAAAAAGAGAGTGTGTCTAATGCTGCTCGACAGTTCAAGTTAGGTGAGAGCAGGAAGTGAGGGGGATGTGTGGCAGCAGGACAGGCCTGAGGGACCTGCCCAGGTGGCATCTCAGGGGAAACGGACTGAGGAGAAAAGATGAGCAACAGTCCGGTCAGCGATCACGGCAAAGGGGGCACGAGGCTGAAGGCGACGTGGAAGGGACAGAGCGTTTCACTCAGAGGCGCTGTTAGGACATTGTTCGCTGGTGGAAATAAACCATTAGGAAGGGGGAAAACGGACAATTTAGGCAAGAGAGGGGACACTTGCTGGAACGAAGTCCTTGAAGAGGCGAGAATGGCATGGGATCCGTGACCCAGGCGGAAGCCCTGGCCTGCCACTTCAGAGGCCCAGGACCTGGGAGGCCAAGCATCAGATGGACCATCCGACTGAAAGCTGAAATCACTAAGAAACAGGGAGAGAAGGTGGGAGAGGGATGAGCCCTCGCTGAGGACCGGTCAGACCGGCCAGACGCACCCTCTGTGGCCTTGCAGGGAAGGTGTTTCCAATAAAGAAGAGAGCAGGGGTGAAACCCAACATGAAAGGAAAAGACCAAGAAATTTTGTCCCAATCGAGCCCTCCAGCTTGGCAGTCTGCTTGTGGACTTTCAAATGCATCTTACTCTTAACCAAAATCTGAGCATCCTTCATCTAGAAGGGCAAAAAAGTTAAACAAAATAAGAAGAGCCAAGCCATGGTGAGAAAAGGCAACTCTTAGCCCATAAAACTATCCACATGTACATATGGGTTTTCTCTTCCAAACCTCTGCCGCCTGCTACAATGGCCCATGGATTTTATTAGGTTCTCAAAATGGACATAACCCCAAGAGGTCACAAGCCACCTCAAAGATCAGAACATGTTCCCAATAAAGGGAAGACGAGAACAAAGCCAAGCCCCTTGTACTATGCCAATAGTGCTGATGTCATAATGATAACAGTGCTAATAGTGGCTTCCTGTGTGCCAGGCCTCAGGCAGGGAGAGCATGCCCTCGGCAAGCATCCTGAGCCGTCTGGTCTGTTCCTGGGAGGTGACCCTGCAATTCAGAAACGGGCATTTCATGTGAGCTGGTTATCATGAATCATGTCACCAGAGACCGATCAACCCCGAGGATACTAATCAAGTTGACTTTCTGGACATACCCAGCTAACCTCACCTGGGCGACCACATCAACGTACAGTAATCGAGTTGGGCCCCGCAGGAGCCATCACTATCTCTGCAAGTCTATACACCATAGTGGTTGCTTAAGTGAGTACTTCATTTGAAATGTTTCCTTCCAGTAGTAGTTTACTTTGTGAAGGAAAATAAATCAGTACTTCATAGAGGAAATAAAAAGAACCAGAAACTTTGAGATGTTAGAGACATGGAGAAAGGTTGATTATAAGACTTTCAATCTATCAAAAATTACTTGGTTTAAGATTTCCTCTTCTTGTAAGTCCATGATGAAATGTGAATTCAAAATTGGTCAAGATTTCAAAATGATAATATGTATCTTTAGTAAGGGTGTGTGGAACCTGATGCACTTGTACATGGCTACATTGTGCATCAGTAGGATGACAGTATGTATCAAATGCTTAAAAATATTTGTATCTAGCAATTCCCATTCTAGAGTTTTTTCTTTTAAAGTAATACTGGTAAAAGTAAAGGTGTGTTTTGGGGGTGCTTATCACATTACCTGAAAACAGTATTATCCTGGGGAGAGCCTAAATATTCAACAAAAAGGAATGAAACTAATTATTGTCCATCTGTACAATGCAAGATAATGCAACCATTAGAAATCATGTGGAATATTTAAAAGCATGAAGTCAGTTGATTTTAAATAAGGGTGCCAATAATTCAATAAAGGAAAGAATAATCTTTCCAAGAAATAGTACTGGAACAACTAGTTAGCCACATACAAAATAATGAAATTAGATCCCTACTTCACATCATACACAAAAATTTAACTCAAAATAGATAGATTCAAATGTAAGAGCTAAAGTTTTCAAACTCTTGGAAGAAAATGTATGAGTAATCTTCATGACTTTGGGTTAAGCAAAACCTTCACAGATATGACACCAAAAGCACAAGAGACAAAAGAAAAAATAGATGAATTTGAAACTTTGTGCTACAAATGTCATCAAGAAAGTGAAAAGGTGACCCACAGAATGGGAGGAATGACTTGTCATTCATATATCTGAAAAGGGACTTATA